GGTCTGGGTAGATGATCTGCAGCTTTTCCTGGCAGTGCGATAGGGCAGACGGCCTCTCTCTGTTCGACCTCACTTCTGGTGCCTCTCCTGCCCCGCTGCTGATGCTGACGCCACTGTTCGCTCACAGTGGGCCACACGCGATGCTGCTGCACGTCTTGCTGTGCGTCGCCACCTGCCTACCACTGAGCGCGCGCACTTTAGTCAGTACAAGAGTGCTCAGACCTTGTACGATGCTGTAGTTGCGCGCTACTCTTCCCCTGCCACTGCTGCACTTAGCCGCCTCATGCTACCGTACCTTTTCCCTGACCTTGCTGCCTTTCCCACAGTCGCTGACTCATTACGCACCTCCGCACTAGTGACACTCGCTACCGCGCTGCGCTTCCTGCTGAGTTCTGCGCCAAGAACCCCCCCCCATGTACATCACCCTCTACTACATAGTCACCAGCTCCCTGACTCTCTCCGCGTAGTCAGGGACCACTTCCTCTCATTTTTCCCCACCACTCTCACGTTGACCTCCTCGAGAAGGCCCTCGTAGTCGCTCTAGGAGCCTCTCGTGGTGACCCTCGCACCCCCGTCTTTGAGGGGTGTTCTCCCTCCACCCTCTTGCCTCTGTTGCCTCTGCTGCTGCGGCCGACCTTGTTGGTTTTGAGTCGGTCGGTGCTGCGTCTGCCCTGAGCGGGAGATGGCGCACCGGCAAGGGCAAGGGGGCAAGGGCGCTGGAGGGGCTGGAGGAGGCAGTGGAGGTGGTAGTGGAGGTAGTGGAGAGAGTGGGGGTAGTGGTGGGAGTGGTGCCGGGGGTGGCGGCGGCGGCGGCAGCAGTGGGAGGCGGCGAAGGCGGTGGAGGTGGCGAAGGGAGCGGAGGCGGCAGAGGAAGTGGAGGAGGCGGAGGTTGAGGAGGCGGCGGAGCGGGGCGGCGGCGGCGGAGGCGGCGATGATGGAGCGGGTCGCGACTCTGCGCAGAAGAGTGGCGCCGGTGGTGGCCAGCGCCAGATGCAGCAGCGGAGTGGTGTGACCCTGTCCCCTCAGCAGCTTCGTGAGTGGTACACTGTGCGTCAGCGCAGTGGGGGTTTTGGTCCCTGCGCTTACGTCCTCCGTACTGGCGACCGCGCTGGTGAGCAGTACGGAGGCCCGCACTCCACCCAGCGCTGCTTTGGTCGCCTTACGGACGCGTGGCATCGCTAGTTCCCTGAGGCGTCAGAGATCCCTCGATGGGGAGATCTGACTAAGGCCGGGGTTGCTATCTTAGATCTTGGCTTTGATGCTATCCTTTGCTGCTATGTATGCTGTTGATACTAGTGTTGAGGGTGCCTGTTACCTGTGTGTACCGCCTGAACCCGGGCATTGAGGCCGCTGCTCTAGGTGCTGGTGAGGCTGCTGCTCTAGGTGCTAGTGCGTCTGCTGCCCCAGGTGCCAGTGCATCTGCTGCCCCAGGTGCTGGTGTGTCTGCTCTCTCAAGTAATGCGTCGGCTCAGGCCTCCACACCTTCACCCTGGACTCGGGTGCGTCCCCGCTCCTTCTTTCGAGACCGCACCACTCTTACGCCGCTCAGTCGGCCGGTTGCAGTCTCCCTGGCAGACCCCTCTGGGGGTCCGTCCTTGCTAGCTTCTCCATTGTCCTACCGTGCCCGGCAGCCCCCTCTGGCACCCTATCTGGTCTCTACCTCCCCTCGTTTCTCTACGAAACTTGGTGAGCGGAGCGGACCTACAGGATAGGGGGGTTGACCAGTTCACTCCTGCGTGTTAGCGAATGACCCACTCCACGTGTGCTTGGACAGGCCCACACTTGGCCATGTTCACCCTGAGACAATTAGTACGAGAATGATTGACTAAGGAATGAAAGTGATACAAATATGGAACCCTAGGAATGTGTACCCATATAGGCTTCCCCACTTTAGGCCTACACAACATTATAATTTGACACCACCCCCATAGGCAAAGTGGGGGAGAACAAGGGGTCACAAGACCAGTCAAGCAAAGCAAAGCAAAGCTCAGGGTGGATCACAACGTCACCACACAGTCCGAGCACAAGGTCAAGGCCACAAGGCCAATTCACATGCAGGAGTACACAAATATATATAAGGCTAAACAAGCAAGAGCAGGTATATATATATATGTAAGAGTACAAGCAAGGTCAAGGGGTAAGCAAGTGAGGCAAGACAGGGAGAAGACCCAGCTGAATGCAGAAGCGCTGATGATCACAGGGCGGAAGTGCCTTGGTGAAAACATCAGCAGTGTTGGCCTCAGAGGCCACGTACGCAAGCTGCAACTGACCACGCTACTGTAGCTCACGAGCAAGGAAGTAGCGAAGAGCAATGTGCTTTGTTCTCTGCTCCAGTCTCTACTCTCGACACAAGGCCAGCATGGCCTTGTTGTCTACGTACATGACTGAAGGAGAACGAGGCGGCTCTCCAAGGTCGGTCAGCAGGTAGGTGAGCCAGCGAAGCTCTTGTGCAGCCATGGCCCCGGCGTAGATCTCAGCCTCACAATTGGAGCCGAGAACAGAAGACGAGCGAGTAGCCCGCCACGAAACAGAGCCGGAACCCAAGGCTGAAGGTGTAACCCTGTGACGACCGTTGCGTAGCCGGGTCGTCAGCCCAAGAAGCGTCCGCGTGCCCATTGAGGACCACTGGACTCCCCCCTCCAAGCACTAGCCCCATGCCCGACGTACTGCACAAGTAGCGCAACACCCTCTTCGCTGCTGCCATGTGCTCTGGTTTGTGTCTCCCAGGAGCAACATAGCGTGCAAGAATGCTAAGAGGGTATGCAAGGTCAGGTCGTGTGCAGGTCATCAGGTACATGAGGCAGCCAACAAGCTCTGGGTACGGGCCACTCGACTCTACGGACTCATCCGAAGGCAGAGCTGAGAGCGAGTGGCGAGTAGACAGAGGAGTGGCCTGAGGTGAGGAGTACGTGAAGCCGAAGCGCTGAAGGACCTGCTGCACCATGTGTGACTGAGTCAGGGTAATGGTGCGGCGTGCTCTGTCCCGGGTGATCTGCAGGCCAAGGTAGGTGCGCAGTTCACCCAGGTCTGTGCACGTGTGTCTCTTCTGCAGCTCGGACTTCACGTGGGCGAGTCCAGCAGTGTTAGCAGTGGCAAAGACCAAGTCGTTGACGTACACGAGGATGTAGAACGGCAGCAAAGAGGTGTCGGTGCGCAGAAACAGCGACGGGTCAGCAGTAGAGGGAGCAAACCCAAGAGCCGCAAGTGTACTCCTCAGTGTGTCGTGCCACTCATGCGGTGCCTGGCGGAGACCGTAGACTGGCCGTCGGAGGCTCCACTGGGTGCCAGGAGGAAAACTCCCAGTGAAGCCAGGTGGACGGCGCAGCCAGATCTCCTCGTGCAGGCTACCCTGCAAGAAAGCAGTGCTGAAGTCAAGGGAGTGAAGCTCGTAGTCACGCTGAGCGGCTATGTGCAGCAGCACCCAAAGAGTGGTCATCTTCGGGGTGGGAGAGAAGGTCTGAAAGTAGTCAACTCCCTGCCGCTGACAAAAGCCACGAGCCTCGTACCGCGCCTTGAAGACAGGTGGAGAACCTGGCGGCCGCTTCACCCTGAAGATCCACATGCCACTGACGATGTTCGCCCCAGGTGGGGGAACCGCGTCAACGTAGGTGCCTGTGGACTTCCAGGAAGCCATCTCTGCATCCATAGCTGCCTGCAACTGAGAGGAGTAGGGACCCTCTACAGCCTTCGCGTAAGAGCGCGTAGTCGGGATGTCAAGTGCATCCGGGTCTCCCTCAGGGGTAAGCAGTACGGACGCGAGATGAGGTGAAGCAGCAGCAAGACACTGGAACTCCTCCTGCCTGTCCTCAAGGACGTCCGTGCTAAGAGCACACTCACCCCTGACGGACGGAGGACAGACAGACGCAGACTCAGCAACAAGACTAGCAGCGTAGTCTAGACGACAGCGAGCAGCAAAGTCGACAAGCTCAGCAACAAGAGCAGACGCAGCAGTGGACTCAAAAGAGGGGTCAGTGACGACAGTAGCAAGAAGACGCGTGACAGTAGGACTGGCAGCACGAAGAGAGTCCGACTCCGGGTCGGCAAGCGAAGGAAGAGAGGACACAGGAGGAGAAGGCAAAGGGGCACGAAGAGGAGCAGTGGACGGACGCAGAGACATCCGGTGCGTGCAAGGGACAGCAGGAGGACGCTGGCGCGAACCGCGACCACTAGCGCGAGAAGCACGAACAGGCGACGCAGGACGAGACGCAGGCTCACAACGCTCAGCAAGACCTCCAGTAGGACCAGTGTAGGGAGAGGGAGCAGGCAGTGGGGAGGCCGGCGGTAACTGTGACTGGGACTGGACAGGCGGTGGACACTCTAAGGGAGGAGGAAGACCAAGAAACTGCTGAAGGAGCGAAACGAAGTACTGCCGAGGCCGCGCAGGGACTCCAGACACAGGAGGGACAGCACCAGCACCCTCAGCACCTCCGGCAGCACCAGCGCCAACAGCACCTCCAGCTGTAGTACCTCCAGCAGCACCAGCAGCACCCGCAGCAGGACCGCCGCCAGGACTGACAGCAGTAGCCTCAGCGCCAACACCCTCAGCCGCTCCAGCTCCCGTCGGACGAGCACCTCCGGGACCAGCGGCACCAGCACCCTCAGCGGCCGAAGAAGCTCCAGCTCCAGCAGTACGCCTCCAGCGCCGGGCAAACCACTCGCGCAGCTCCTGTGGAGAGAGTGGCTCCCGCCAAGAAGAACCAGGAGAACCGCCAGGCCCAGCACCGCCAGACGCCACACGATCAGGTCCAGCAGCCGCTCGATCCGCACCCCCAGGCGCAGCAGCTCCAGATGCAGCACCCCCTGGCGAAGGACCCCCAGGCTCAGCAACCCAAGTCATAGCACCCCAAGGCTCAGCACCCCCAGTCGCAGCACCCCAAGGCTCAACACCCCCAGTCGTAGCACCCCCAGGCTCAGCACCCCAAGTCGCAGTACCCCCAGACTCAGCACCCCCAGGCTCAGCACCCACTCGTGCAGCACCCCCAGAGTCAGCACCCCCAGGCTCAGCACCTGCAGCAGTACCAGAGTCGCCATCAACCTCGACCGGCTCGACTGCGTCTACCTGGGACACCCCTGAAGGGGCAGGACCCTCAGGGGGGAGGGGGTCTACCGGGGGGGGACCTGGCACAAGGAAGTGCGGTGGCGGGGGGGGGGGAAGGAGTGCGGTAGGGGAAGAGACGGTAGTAGGGGACCGACTCGTCGAACGTGACGTCCTGGGAGGACAGAACACGACGAGAGGAAGGGTGGTAGAACTGACACCCTGGTGCGTCAAGGGGGAAGCCAAGGAAGACACAACGAGCAGCACGAGGGGACAGCTTGTCCGCAGACAAGTCGCGGACAAACGCCCGAGATCCCGAGACACGGAACACAGACGCATCGCCAACCTTCCCCGTCCACAGCAAAGCTGGGGAGGTCTCCGGCATGGAGACCCTGGGGTGAAGGTTGATCTGATGCGCCGCGTACCGAACCGCAAACGGCCACAGAAAATGGGGTCAACCGCATGCATCATGGACGTACGAGCGACGTCCATGACCATGCCAATGCGGCGCTCAGCAATCCCATTTTTCTGTGGAGAGTCCGGAAACGTAAAGGTCTGGCGGATGCCTCACGCACGGCAGTAGGCTTGCAGAAGGCCAGAGGAGAACTCTCCGCCTCGGTCAGAGTGCAGACGCAGAACAAGAAAGTCCGAGCCGAAGCTCCTCCTGAGCTGGAGACGAGCTGCGCGGATCCAGTCGATCAGCACCTCAGAGACATCGCCCTTGGTGCGCAAGGGGAAGACTGTGGTGTAACGCGAGTAGTCGTCAACCACTAGTAGGAAGTAGCGCTCGTGACCGAGTCCACGGACGCGGCCTGGGCCCCACACGTCCATGTGAAGCGTCTGCAGTGGGGCCTCTGTCGGGGGAAACTGAGAGGAGTGAGGGGCAGCCCGTAGGCGCCCCTCGACATAGGGGACGCAGGAAGGACCAGGTCCAGGAGGAAGGGGAGGGAGGGACCGGGGAAGACCAGAGACCACGACACGAGAAGCCATGCCTCGGAGACGGGGCAGGGAGGGGTGACCAAGACGGTGGTGCCACAGGAGACTCTCGTGAGATAGGAGGCGACACGAGCAGGGGGCAGACTCAGGACCAGACCTGGACGCTGCAGCAAACACCTGACCCGACGCAGCTACCTGGCCAGACGCAGGGACAGGAGGAGACCCAGTGGTCAGGGTGTAGAGGCTCGACCCCGGCCAACGCGTAAACGTGGCCAGGTGCCGGCCTGTGCCAGCGTCCGTGCAGTGGGTCACCAGCTGACTCGCAGGAGTAAACTGGTGAACCCCCGCATCCTGCAGGTCAGCACCACTCACCAAGTTCGTAGAGAACGAGGGGAGGTAAAGACCAGACAAGGTGCCAGAGTGGAGAGCCCGACACGGGAGGACAGTGGAGAAGTGAGAGAGGACAAGACCCCCAGAGGGGTCTGCCAGGGAGACTGCAACCGGCCGACCAAGCGGCGTGAGTGTGGTGCGGTCTCGAAAGAAGGAGCGAGAAGCCCCTGAGTCAAGTGTGAAGGTGAGGGAGGCCGAAGCCGACGTGGTACCTCAGAGCGCAGACTCACCAGTACCTGAGGGCGCAGACGCACTGGCACCTAGAGCAGCAGCCTCATTAGCACCTAGCGCAGCAGTACCAATGCCCGGGTCGGGCGGGAAACACCGGTAACAGTCACCCTCATCACTAATAGTCACAGCATACATGGCAGCAAGGATAGCATCAAAGTCAAGATCATAGATAGCGACACCTGCCCTAGACAGCTCTCCCCAGCGGGGGATCTCACTAGCCTCCGGGAACTGCTGACGCCAAGCGTCCGTCAGGCGGCCAAAGCAGCGCAGGGTGGAGTGGGCACCCCCACACTGCTCACCCGCGCGGTCGCCGGAACGAAGGACGTAGGTGCACGGACCAAAATCCCTACCACGCTGACGCTGCGTGTACCACTCACGGAGCTGCTGAGGGGGGGGGATGTCCCAAGAACGCTGCTGCTGCTGCTGCTGGCGCTGACCACCACCGGAGCCGCTCTGCTGCGAAGCGCCACCCCGACCAGCTCCACCTCCTCCACCACCGCCTCCTCCACCTCCGCCACCACCGCCGCCTCCGCTCCCACCGCTACCGCCTCCTCCGCCTCCGCCTCCGCTGCTGCCACCGACACCTCCACCCCCGCCACCACTCCCACCGCCACCCCCACTCCCCCCGCCGCCTCCACCGCCACCTCCACCACCCCCGCTAGCTCCACCCGCGCCCTTGCCCCCCTTGCCCTTGCCAGAGAGGCATCTCCCGCTAGGGGCAGACGCCGCACCGGCCGACTCAAGACCAACGAGGTCAACCGCAGCAGCAGAGGCGACAGAGGGCAAAAGGGGGAAAGGGGAACACCCCTCAAAGATGGGGGTGCGGGGGTCACCACGAGAGGCTCCTAGAGCGACTATGCTCTTCTCCGCTGCTAGGAGGGCCTTCTCTAGGAGGTCAACAGTAAGAGTGGTGGGACAGACTGAGAGGAAGTGGTCCCTGACTACACGAAGAGAGTCAGGGAGCCGGGTGACTATGTAATAGAGAGTGATGTACATGGGGGGGGGGGGTTCTTGGCGCAGAACTCAGCAGGAAGCGCAGCGCGGTAGCGAGTGTCACTAGTGCGGAGGTGCGTAATGAGGTCAGCGACTGTGGGAAAGGCAGCAAGGTCAGGGAAAAGGTACGGTAGCATGAGGCGGCTAAGTGCAGCAGTGGCAGGGGAAGAGTAGCGCGCAACTACAGCGTCGTACAAGGTCTGAGCACTCTTGTACTGACTAAAGTGCGCGCTCTCAGTGGTAGGCAGGTGGCGACGCACAGCAAGACGTGCAGCAGCATCGCGAGTGGCCCACTGTGAGCGAACAGTGGCGTCAGCGTCAGCAGCAGGGGCAGGAGAGGCGCCAGAGGTGAGGTCAAAGAGGGAGAGACCGTCTGCCCTATCGCACTGTAGGAAAAGCTGCAGGTCATCTACCCAGACCTCAAAGTCAATGGCCTGACCCTTAGCGTCAATAGCGAGAACACTGGGGGTAGCCATGACAGTAGTGGATGAGTAGTACAAACTGTAGGACAGGGGCAGTGCAGTGACAGAAACGCTGCTCTCACGAGACAGTGCGGTTCGGGCAGCTCAGCGGCACAGCAACACGGCAACACGGCGGCTCGGGCGACTCTGACGGCTCAGCAGCATCTGCGGCTCTGCGGCACCAGCGGCTCGGCTCCTCGGCACCTCAGGCAGCTCGGGCGGCTCGGGCGGGTCGGGCGGCTCGGGCGGCTCGGGCTGCTCGGGCGAGTCGGGCGGCTCGGGCGGCACGGGCGGCTCGGGCGGCTCGCGTAGGTCGGGCGGCTCGGGCAGCTCGGGCTGCGTAGCGGCGCGGGCGGCTCGGTGGTGTAGAGCGGCAGGGCCGCGGGCAGGGCGGCGGGGCCGCAAGGTAAGTGGCGGGGCCGCAGCGAGAGGGGCGGCGGGGCCGTAACGAGAGGGGCGGCGGGGCCGCAGCGAAGGGCGGCGGGGCCGCGGCGGAGTCGGCGGGGCCGCAGCGAGAGGGGCGGCGGGGCCGCGGTGGAGTCGGCGGGGCCGCGGCGAGAGGGGCAGCGGGGCCGTAACGAGAGGGGTGGCGGGGCCGCAGCAAAGAGCGGCGGGGCCGCAAGGGATTCGGCGGGGCCGCAGCAAGAGAGGCGGCGGGGCCGCAGCGAAGGGCGGCGGGGCCGCAGAGAAGGGCGGCGAGGCCGCAGCGAAGGGCGGCGGGGACGCAGCGAAGAGCGGCGGGGCCGCAGTGAAGGGCGGCTGGGCCGCAGCGACGGCTGACGGGGCCGCAGTGAAGGGCGGCGGGGCCGCCGTGAAGGGCGGCGGGGCCGCAGCGAAGAGCGGCGGGGCCGCAGTGAGAGGCAGCGGGGCCGCAGCGAAGGTCGGCGGGGCCGCAGCAAAGGGCGGCGGGGCCGCAGTAAAAGGCGGCGGGGCCGAAGGGAAGGGCGGCAGGGCCGCTTAGGGGGCCGGGGCCGCTAGGGCGATCAGGCCGCTAGGGCGTTGGGGCCGCTAGGGCGGCTCGATGAAGTGAGAGGCCGGAGCGCGACTCGGGCAGAGGGCGCTCTGGGCAGGAAAAAAAAAAGGGTTCGATGTGGTGGGCCCTAGGCACAATTCCCAGGAGGGAACCTGCTCGATACCATGAGAAAATTAGAACGAGAATGATTGACTAAGGAATGAAAGTGATACAAATATGGAACCCTAGGAATGTGTACCCCATATAGGCTACCCCACTATAGCCTACACAACATTATAATTTGACACACCCTTCGGCCAGGGTCGAGCCTGTACACCCTTACTTCTGAGTCTCCTCCTACTGCTGAGTGTGCCCAGGTAGCAGCGTCGAGTCAGGTGTTTGCTGCGGCGTCCAGGTCCGGTCCTGAGTCTGCTCCCTGCTCGTGTCGTCTGCTGTCCCACCAGACCCTCCTTTGGCACCACCGCCTTCGTCACCCCTCCTTGCCTCGTCTTCGAGGCATGGCCTCCCGTGTCCTTGTCTCTAATCTCCCTCGGTCTCTCCCTTCCCTTCCTCCGGGGCCTTGCCCTACCTGCGTCCCCTGCGTCGAGGGGCGACAGCGCGCCGCCCCTCACTCCTCCGAGTTTCCTCCGACAGAGGCTCCGCTGCAGACTCTCCACATGGACATGTGGGGCCCAGCCCGCGTCAGTGGGCAGGGGCGAGAGCGGTACTTTCTGCTGGTAGTTGACGACTACTCGCGTTACACCACAGTCTTCCCCTTGCGCAGCAAGGGTGACGTCACTGAGGTGTTGATCGACTGGATCCGCGCAGCTCGTCTCCAGCTCAGAGAGAGTTTCGGCTCGGACTTTCCTGTTCTGCGTCTGCACTCGGATAGAGGCGGGGAGTTTTCCTCTGCCCGTCAAGGAGCCTTCTGTCGTGCACAGGGCATCCGCCAGACCTTCACGCTTCCGGCCTCTCCACAGCAAAATGGGATTGTTGAGCGCCGCAATTGCATGGTCATGGACGTCGCTCGTACGTCCATGATGCATGCGGCTGCCCCCCATTTTCTGTGGCCATTTGCGGTTCAGTATGCTGTGCATCAACTCATCCTTCAGCCCCGGGTCTCCTATCCTAAGACCTCCCCCGCCTTGCGGTGGACCGGGAAGGTTGGCGATGCGTCTGCGTTTCGGGTCTGGGGATCTCGGGCATTTGTCCGGGACTTTTCTGCGGACAAGCTGTCCCCCCGTGCTGTTCCCTGCGTCTTCCTTGGTTTCCCCCCTAACGCGCCTGGGTGCCAGTTTTACCACCCCACCTCGCGTCGTGTTCTGTCCTCCCAGGACGTCACCTTTGACGAGTCGGTGCCTTCCTACCGTCTCTTCCCCTACCGCACTGCGCCCCTCCCCCCGCCGCCGCTCTTCCTTGCGCCAGGTCCTCCCCAGGTAGACCCCCTCCCCCCTGAGGGTCCTGCCCCGTCAGGTGTGTCCTAGGTAGACGCAGTCGAGCCTGTCGAGGTAGTTATTGACTCTGGTGCTGCTAGAGGTGATGAGCCTGCGGGTGTCGGGTCTGGGGGTGCTGAGTCTGGGGGTGCTGAGACTGGGGGTGCTGAGCCTGGGGGTGCTGAGACTGGGGGTGCTTAGCCTGGGGGTGCTGAGTCTGGGGGTGCTGAGCCTGGGGGTGCTGAGCCTAGGGGTGCGGAGCCTGGGGTTGCTGGGTCTACTCGTGTGGCCGCCGGTGGTGCTTCGTCGAGGCGGGAGCCACTCTCTCCACAGGAGCTGCGCGAGTGGTTTGCCCGCCGCTGGAGACGTGCTACTGAGACTGGGGGTGCTGTCAGAGCTCCTGGAGTTGGTCCTGCTGGCGGTGCTGGTGCTACTTGAGGTGGAGCTGCTGGGGGTGTTGGCGCTGGTGTTTCTACTGGTGCTGGTGCGTCTGGGGGTGCTACTGAGGCTTCTGGTGCTGACGGTCCTACTGGCGTTGGTGCTGCTGGAGCACGAGCTGCTGGGGGTGTTGGCGCTGGTGGTGCTACTAGCGCTAGTGCTTTTGAGGGTGCTGGAGTTGGCACTGTTGGAGCTGGAGGTGCTGCTGGCGCTGGTGCTGCCGCTGAGGATACTGGCGCCGTCCTTGCAATTTCTGGAGGCACTGAGCAGCCGAGGCCGTACTTCGTTCCACTCCTGGAGTAGGTTTTTTGCAACCCTAAACCCTCTCCTGGTCCTGCTCCTCCCTTAGAGTGTCCACACCCTGTCCAGTCGCAGTCACAGTTACAGCCTTCCTCCCCGCTGCCTGCTCCTTCTCCCTACACTGGTCCTACTCGAGGTCTTGTTGAGCGTCGTGAGCCTGCGTCTCGTCCTGTGTCGCCTGTTCGTGCTGCTCGCACTAGCGGTCGTACTTCGCGTCCGCGTCCTCTTGCGGTCCCCGGCACAAACTAGATGGCACTGCGTCCTTCCACTGCTCCTCTGCGTGTCCCGTTGCCGTCACCTCCAGAGTCCTCTCTTCCTTCTCTTGCTGAACCGGAGTCTGACTCCCTTCGTGCTGCTAGTCCTTCTGTCACGCGCCTTCTTGCTACTATCGTCACTGACCCTTCCTTTGAGTCCACTGCTGCGTCTGCTCTAGTTGCTGAGCTTGTCGACTTCGCTGCTCGTTGTCGTCTAGACAACGCTGCCAGTCTCGTTGCTGAGTCTGAGTCTGTCTGTACTCCGTCGGGGGTGAGTGTGCTCTTAGCACGGACGTGATTGAGGACAGGCAGGAGGAGTTCCAGTGCTTTGCCCCATCTCGTGTCCACGTGTGAAAGTGTAGAAGAAAGAAGAGGGTTCGACTAGCAAGAATGAGGATACAAATAGCAAACCCAAGAAGGGTTGTACTCGCTTTAGAGCACCCCACTACAGGCTAGAGCAGAATATTCTGACACACCCCCATAGCCAAAGTGGGGTGTAATCAGCAGAGCAAGCAAAGCAGTACAAGCTCAGGGTGGATCACAATGTCACCACACATTCTGAGCACAAGTTCAAGCAGCAATAGTTTAAGTTCACAATTATGAGCAAAGCTAGTGGTAGTCACAACGGGCAAGTGAGGAGGAGGAGAGAGAGTGAGAGGAGAGGAGATAGGAGGCGACGGCTCAAGCTGCAGACACACGGGCCACAGGAGGCACACTAGCATAGTGGCTACCGGAACAACGCTCCGAACTACAGGAGTAACGGGCCCCGCGGCTAAAGTAGCGGCAGACGAGCAACGGACCCACGGGCGACTGGCACAGCTGGCTACGACTGGGCTACCGGAGCAACTCCCCGGAATACAGGTGCTGCTGGCGACACGACGGCAACCTCCGTTCAACTTCCCCAAACGATCCACTCCCCCTGACACACACCCGCTGCTACACCCCTAGCTCCACTCCCCCTTCACCCCCCCTTAGTACCACTCCACCGGCTCCAACAAGTCCACCCCCCCTCAGCGGCAGCTGCAGCACAGGGAGACGGAGGAGGAGGAGGAGGAGCAGGGAACAGTACACAGTGGGTGCACCCCCATACCCCGCACCCCCAAACCCTAATGCAGGAGAATGGGGAGTAAGAGGGGTGGGGCACGAGTAGAAGCACTGGGGGACAGCAGGGAGGGCAGGGGCAGCAAGGAACGGGCCCACCACAGGCCTGGTAGGGTCGCCCGAGCCGCGCGCAGGCGGCCCGAGCCGCGCGCGGGCCCGGCGCCGCCCGTACGGGCCGCGGGCGGGCCTGGCGCAGCCCGTACGGGTGGCGCGCGGGCCTGGCGCAGCCCGTACGGTCCGCGCGCTGCCTGTACGGGCCGCGCGCAGGCCAGGTGCAGCCCGTACGGGCCGCGCGGTGCCTGTACGGGCCGCGCTCAAGCCACGACGGGCGACGGGGGGCGACGAACGGGTCCCCGTCGCCCGTCGCGGCGCCTCCCGAGGGCGACGCGACGGTCGACGGGGCCGAAGCCCGCCGCCCGCCTCGGGGCGCACAGCGGGCAGAGAACCGCCGCGCGCCTCGGGGCGCACGGCGGGCAGAAAACCGCCGCGCGCCTCGGGGCGCACGGCGGGAAGAATAACTGCCACACGCCACGGGGCGTGCGGCACCGAGTGTAGTGGTAGTAGTTGCAGCGGAAGCAAGGAGGTGGTAAGCCCACCCACAGGATCGATCCAAGGGGGATCGACCTGCTCTGATAGCATGTGAAATTTAGAAGAGAGAAGAGGGTTGCACTAGCAAGAATGAGGATACAAATAGCAAACCCAAGAAGGGTTGTACTCGCTATAGAGCACCCCACTACGGACTAGAGCATAATATTCTGACACCACGCTGATTGCCCCTGAGGGAGACCCGGATGCACCAGACATCCTGACTCCTCGATCGTACGCTGAGGCGATCAAGGGTCCCTACTCCTCTCAGTGGCAGTCGGCCATGGACGCAGAGATGGCTTCCTGGAAGTCCACAGGTACCTACGTCGACGAGGTTCCCCCACCTGGGGCGAACATCGTCAATGGCATGTGGATTTTCAGGGTGAAGCGGCCGTCGGGTTCTCCGCCTGTCTTCAAGGCGCATTACGTGGCTCGAGGCTTCAGTCAGCGGCAGGGACTTGTCTACTTTCAGACCTTCTCTCCCACCCCGAAGATGACCACTCTTCGGGTGCTGCTGCACATAGCCGCTCAGCGCGACTACCAGCTTCACTCTCTTGACTTCTGCACAGCTTTCATACAGGGCAGCCTACACAAGGAGATCTGGCTGCGCCGCCCTCGTGGCTTCACTGGGTCGTTTCCTCCTCGTACCCAATGGAGCCTCCGGCGGCCAGTCTACGGTCTCCGCCAGGCGCCCCGTGAATGGCACGATACATTCAGGACTACACTTGCGGCTCTTGGGTTTGCTCCTTCTACAGCCGACCCGTCGCTGTTTCTGCGCACCGACACCTCTTTGCCGACTTGGTCTTTGCCACTGCTGACACTGCTGGACTCGCCCACGTGACGTCTGAGCTGCAAAAGAGACACACGTGCACAGACCTGGGTGAACTGCGCAGCTACCTTGGCTTGCAGATCACCCGGGACAGAGCACGGCGCACCATTACCCTGACTCAGTCACACATGGTGCAGCAGGTCCTTCAGCACTTCGGCTTCACGTACTCCTCGCTTCAGGCCACTCCTCTGTCTACTCGTCACTAGCTCTCAGCTCTGCCTTCGGATGAGTCCGTAGAGTCGAGTGGCCCGTACCCAGAGCTTGTTGGCTGCCTCATGTACCTGATGACCTGCACACGACCTGACCTTGCATACCCTCTTAGCATCTTGGCACGCTATGTTGCTCCTGGGAGACACAGACTAGAGCACATGGCTGCAGCGAAGAAGGTGTTGCGCTACGTGTGCAGTACGTCGGGCATGGGGCTAGTGCTTGGAGGGCGACGTCGAGTAGTCCTCACAGGTCACGCTGACGCTTCTTGGGCTGACGACCAGGCTACGCAGCGGTCGTCACAGGGTTACACCTTCAGCCTTGTCTCCGGCTCTGTTTCGTGGCGGTCTACCCGCTCGTCTTCTGTTCTCAGCTCCAGCTGTGAGGCTTAGATCTACGCAGGGGCCATAGCTGCACAAGAGCTACGCTGGCTCACCTACCTGCTGGCTGACCTCGGAGAGCCGCCTCGTTCTCCTCCAGTTCTGTACGTAGACAACAAGGTCATGCTGGCCTTGTGTTGGGAGCACAGACTGGAGCACAGAACGAAGCACATTGCTCTCCGCTACTTCTTGGCTTGTGAGCTGCAGCAGCGTAGTCAGCTCCGTCTCACCTACGTGGCCTCTGAGGCCAACACTGCTGATATCTTCACCGAGGCCCTTCCGCCTTGTGATCATCAGCGCTTCTGTACTTTGCTAGGTCTTGTGCCTACCTGGCCTCACTTGCTCACTTCTTGATCTTGTTTGTCCTGTACTCTTTTTATACCTGCACTTGTTTGTTTACCTTTATATATATGTTCTTGCATGTGAATCGGCCTTGTGGCCTTACTCTTGTGCTCGGACTGTGTGATGACTTTGTGATCCACCCTGAGCTTGCTTTGCTTTGCTTGACTGGTCTTGTGACCGCTTGTTCTCCCCCACTTTGCCTATGGGGTTGTGTCAGAACATTATAGCTTACATTTGTGTAGGCTGTAGTGGGGTAGCCAATAAGTGGTACAACCCAATTAGGGTTAGTACTTGTACCCAACTGTTTCTTAGTTCATTCACCCATTCTCTCGTTTCATTCTTCACACATCTCCCACTTGCCAGAAGCCATTCATCTCTCAACAGCCAAGTACGCAGAGCAACTTTGTAAGCGCTTCAACATTGCACCTGCTCGACTCTCCACCCCTTACCGCACTCCATGACCAAACCACAAACCTGACAACAAAGCCCTGTCCCCTGGTGGGCTTCAAACTTACTTGCAGCAGCTTGGATGTCTACTCTTGGCCTCAGTTACCTGCAGGCTCGATCTCTCATACATCGCAAGCCAGCTAGCTCGGTATTCCCGCAAACCAACGGCTGAAAACTTCTCAGATATTCACCGAGCACTTCAATTCTTCATCTCTAAACCCAATGTTGGGCTTTGCTACTCCACCATCCCAACCGCATCGTTCAACATCGTCGGATAGGTGGACGCAGATCATAGTGCTGATTTCGAAAATTAATTATCCAGGACAGGTTTCCTATTTGGCGTCGAGCCCAGCGATCCCATTTCCTCGAAATCGCAGAAACAGGAGTTGGTTGCCATGTCTTCGACGGAAGTTGAGTTCATCGCAGCAACGGCAGCTGTTCGCGAGGGTCTCTACCTTCAAGAGCTGCTGTAGGAGGAGAAAATCCCAGCTTCATCAAACTTTCGGCTGCACTGCGACAACCAGAGGGCGATCAGGATCGCGAACAAACCTGGTTTTGACAACCGCACCAAGCACATCGCGCTGCGGTACTTCTTCGTCAAGGACGAAGTTGACAAGGGCAAGGTTGACCTAACCTACTATCCGACGGGTGATATGGCAGCTGATTTCCTCACGAAGAAGCTGCCGCGTGAGTAGTATCAGTATTGCTCCGAACTCAGCGTAGTAGTCAAGCGGGTCAAGAACTGCTACGGCCAGGAGTGAAGGGGGATGTTACGAACACTACAATATGAAAACATCACCGTGCACTCCTTACCGTAGCAATTGAAGCACACACTACCGAGGTCGAAGACGAAGGGACAGAAGTAACGCGAAGGGCCGCACAGTTACGAAATGATCTGGACCGTCGGGTACACAGCATGAAGCAGCAGCAGTGGCGATGATTCTGCCCGAACAGTTTCGTAACTATCTGGAGTCGCACGGTTGAGTTTCGCTGCAATAAGGGAATGTACCCCTTAGAGTGCATGGCTAGCCTAGGTCGATTTGAATTTCCTTGTACTCTTATTTATACCTTTGTATTTGCATGCTTTTATCATCTCAAGCATTTTACATTCACTCTGCTATTGAGGTCAAGGGCCCACCACTACCACTCAACCGTGTGCGAACCTTCCTGATGTGATCCTAGGGTCGATCAATTCCTGATCGCAGCAGTCGCTTGAGAGAAATCCCATTGAGTCGCATTGTTTGAGTAAACCGTGTGGGTATGTATGAAAGATCATGGGAAACCAAGTAGCCAGCACATAATTTCTCCTAGAAATTACTGTTTTGTAGGTACAGTGAAGCATTGTTTGCTGCTTGAATTGGCTGACCTGTCCAGTCACCACTTCTTGAGCCGGATAGGTAGGAGACTGACACGTGCCACTGAAGGTTGCATCTCTCAATTGGATGGAAGCTCAGGCTGAGGCCCAGTGGCACGCTGCCATGTTTCACTCGCACGCAGCGTCAGCACATTTCTGATTAGGAGCCAAGCTATTGGAGTTCAACCCGTTGTACTTCCTAAATGTTGGGATAGCAATAGTATTTGCGAGGGAATTTGTCCCACGTGTGTTAGTCATGAAGAGAAGTCCATAGCTGCATTTCAAGGCTTTGGGGCTTTCGTTGGTGTCGCAAACGTTTGTCGTTATGGTCGAACTCTCCCGGATTTCTTGGGTATATACAAACATGAATCTCAACCCACTGGACTTCCCTGGCCGCGAGGAGATGGTGAGAGTTCGAGAGGTGGTAAAGGCAACCACCTCCCAGTATCACACTGCAGCAGCTTCCACTACCCTTTTTCACTGAGGAAACTGAGTCAACTAGTTCTTATGCCCTGCTAAAACCCCTGATTTCCCTCGAGAACGCACGCATCTGCTGACGCGGCAGTGCTGCCAGCACACGCGCGGCGAGCAGAGGTCGAATCAGAGCTTGCCTCCTGCTTGCGTGGCTCCGACCATCCTCCCAAATCTGCGGCCTCTCCTCCCTCCCGCTTTTCCCATCTTCAGAGTCCTCCCAAGACCACCCCCGCTTTCTGCGCGAGGAATAAAGTCGAGGTAAGTTTTCACAGAACATTATTTACCTATTTTTTTCCACGCCTTTTCCCAAGGCCACATTTTTTCTCAAGCTGAGATCAACATTTGCATTGCACAGCAAACTTCTCCTCCGACCTCTGCTTTTTTTCTTGATGGCCCTCTCGGCTTCCTCTCTCCGCAGTGCCGCACTCAAGCCCTCCCCAACACTGAGCCCGTCGGCCAATCATCTCTCGTCAGACTTCTCTGGTCGCCGCGTCGTCGCATTCCCGAAAGCGACCGTTTCGCGCAACTCGCGCGTCGCACGTCGCGGCGTCGTCAGAATGGGGTTGACGGAGAACGGTCCGTCGATTGCGGTGGTGGGAGTGACTGGCGCGGTGGGCCAGGAGTTTCTTCAGGTGCTCGCGCAGCGCGACTTCCCGTACAGCTCGCTCAAGATGCTCGCCAGCTATCGATCGGCCGGGAAGAAGTTCGACTTCGATGTAAGTCCCGTTTCCAGGTTCGGGGGTCTGCTTCCAGGTTTGGGGATCTGCAACGAGGTTCGGGTATCTGCTCAGTGGTCAGGGAAAGCGCTTCGGGTTCTCCGCATGGTCTTGGAGCCAAGCCCTGGATGCCAGTCATTGGATGTCAGCCTCTGGATGTCAATATCTGACTGTCAGTCCTTGAATGTCATATCGTGGAGGTCAAGATTCGGGCTGGTGCTCGCATTGGAGGCGCGTTGCCACCTTTGTCGTTGAGCGATCCACGGCCGCTGGTACCAAGGTGTTGCGACCAGATTCTCTCATCCGTATCCTGCATTCCGCGTCGCTCGTGCTTCCTGTCCTTCCGGTACCCTTGTCTCTGCGCGATCCACGGCCGCTGGTGCCGAGGGGTTGCGATCAGATCCTCTGAGGTCTGTATCCCGCATTCCCCGTCGCTTGCGCTTCCACCTCCTCGCGTTCACCTCTACTCTACCTTCGAGCCTACATGTGTGTGAGGGCCTTTAGTCACCGCCTCCCGTGCCCCTTCATTCCACCAATCACAGGGCCGCACGTTCACGGTGTAGGAGCTTGCGGAGCGGATCTTGTATCTCCGCGTTGCATCCCGCATCGGCTCACCCGTCTCCACCCCTCTCCACCCCTCTCCACACCATGGCAGGGCCGCACGTACACGGTGGAGGAGCTGACGGAGGAGAGCTTCAAGGGCGTCGACATCGCGCTCTTCAGCGCCGGCGGCTCCATCAGGTAGGCCCTGCCGGTCTTCGCTCGTTCACGTAATCACCCAGCAGGTGATCACGTCATCATTCATCAGGTGATCGCCCACACCTCTGCTGCTTCAAGGGCGTCGACATCGCTCTCTTCAGCGCTGGCGGCTCCATCAGGTACGCTGCTGCGCTGCCGGCCTCCTCTCTCCCCCATCAGGCAATCTATGGTGACTTCTGCGTCGACTCAAAAGTCATCCTCACACCGAGGGGAGCTTCAAGGGCGTCACATCACGCTCTTCAGCGCTGGAGGTTCCATCAGGTACGCTGCGGCGCTGCCGCCCTGCCGCCCTTCGCTCGTGCACGTGTTTTCCAATCCCTCGATCACCATTCATGCCTCCGCGCTCTCATCTGCGCCTCACGCATCAGCTGCTGCCCATCCGACTGCGCGCGATCGCCGTTGCGTGCGATCATCCTCTGCAGTATGCGGAAATCCATGGAATACGCTGGATCTTGCGATCGATCGCCGTTGCGTGCGATCATGCGACCACAACGTCTTCCCTTTCCTCGATCATCTTCGTGTGCGGCCATCCTTGCATGCGATTTACGGTATTCTGAAAGCCGTGGAATACCCCCGTCGCTACAGCCTCATCCCTCTTCCCGATCACTCTCGCGCGCGGTCCCCCCGGAACCCCTCATCGCAATCACCTTCCTCCTTCCCGCTTCCACCTTCCCGCTCACCCTCCCCCTTGCGCGCAGCAAGAAGTTTGGGCCGGCGGCGGTGGCGGAGGGCACGATCGTGGTGAAGCGAGCAGCCCTTAGCCCGTGGCCCCCCTCAACCTCCCTCTTCCCTTCCTCCCCCTCCCCGATCCCCCCTTCCCCCACCCCCTTCTTCCGTCCGCGCAGCAAGAAGTTTGGGCCGGCGGCGGTGGCGGAGGGCACGATCGTGGTGGACAACAGCTCCGCGTTCCGCATGACGGACGGCGTGCCGCTCGTCGTTCCCGAGGTGCGTGGCTGGTGCTGGGATTGCAAAGTGATGAAGCGCAGCAGTACCATGAAGTCACGCGCGCGCGACGCACGGCGGCGCAGGACTTGCTGCTCGCGCCCGTGACGTCGTGCGCAACCAAGTTATGAGGCCCGTCCAGTTGCTCACGTCGCGCCCGTGGCGTCGTGCGCGCGCGGGGACCCGTCGAGCACACCGCTCGTTGCCCACGCCTCGCAACGTTATGATGCCGATTCAGCTGCACCACGCGCCCTCACGAGCGCGTATCTCGTCCCCCGGTTCCTCCGCTTTTCCAGGGCTCGGGAGCGGCGGACGCCACCACGCGCCCCAACCCCCCTCCCTTCAACTCTCCTTTGTTCCGCTTCTCCGCCCTCCGCACCCGCATTTCCGCCCTCCGCACCCGCATTTCCGCCCTCCCCACCCGCATTTCCGCCCTCCCCACCCGCATTTCCACCCTCCCCACCCGCCTCCCCCCCCCCCTCACACAGGTGAACCCCGACGCCATGGCGCACATTAAGCTGGGCGGCGGCGGCGGAAGTCACGCTCACATTCCCCCAACGCCTTCCCCCAACGCCTTTCCCCCCTTCCCCCCACGCCCTTCACCACCCCAGGTGAACCCCGACGCCATGGCGCACATCAAGCTGGGCGGCGGCGGCGCCATCATCGCGAACCCCAACTGCTCCACCATCATCTGCCTCGTCGCCGTCACTCCCATCCACCGCCGCGCCAAGGTGAGGCGATGGGATAGGCGTTGGTGAAGGCGGGGAGAGGGGAAAAAGGGTGCGAGGGGAGGAACGGGGGGGGGGGGGACTCCAACTTCTCCACCATCATCTGCCTCATCGCCGTCACTCCCATACACCGCCGCGCCAAGGTGCGCCATTGGAAGGGGTATGGCGCATTGCGCAAATGGGGTATGGAGATGGGGGAGATGGGGAAGATGGGGAAGATGGGGGAGAGGAGAGGGGGAGAGAGGAGAGGGGGAGAGAGGAGAGGGGGAGAGAGGAGAGGGGGAGAGAGGAGAGGGGGAGAGAGGAGAGGGGGAGAGAGGAGAGGGGGAGAGAGGAGAGGGGGAGAGAGGAGAGGGGGAGAGAGGAGAGGGGGAGAGAGGAGAGGGGGAGAGAGGAGAGGGGGAGAGAGGAGAGGGGGAGAGAGGAGAGGGGGAGAGAGGAGAGGGGAGAGAGGAGAGGGGGAGAGAGGAGAGGGGGAGAGAGGAGAGGGGGAGAGAGGAGAGGGGGAGAGAGGAGAGGGGGAGAGAGGAGAGGGGAGAGAGGAGAGGGGAGAGAGGAGAGGGGGAGAGAGGAGAGGGGGAGAGAGGAGAGGGGGAGAGAGGAGAGGGGGGAGAGAGAGGGGGGAGAGAGGAGAGGGGGAGAGAGGAGAGGGGGAGAGAGGAGAGGGGGAGAGAGGAGAGGGGAGAGAGGAGAGGGGAGAGAGGAGAGGGGGAGAGAGGAGAGGGGGAGAGAGGAGAGGGGGAGAGAGGAGAGGGGGAGAGAGGAGAGGGGGAGAGAGGAGAGGGGGAGAGAGGAGAGGGGGAGAGAGGAGAGGGGGAGAGAGGAGAGGGGGAGAGAGGAGAGGGGGAGAGAGGAGAGGGGAGAGAGGAGAGGGGGAGAGAGGAGAGGGGGAGAGAGGAGAGGGGGAGAGAGGAGAGGGGGAGAGAGGAGAGGGGGAGAGAGGAGAGGGGGAGAGAGGAGAGGGGGAGAGAGGAGAGGGGGAGAGAGGAGAGGGGAGAGAGGAGAGGGGGAGAGAGGAGAGGGGAGAGAGGAGAGGGGGAGAGAGGAGAGGGGGAGAGAGGAGAGGGGGGAGAGAGGAGAGGGGAGAGAGGAGAGGGGGAGAGAGGAGAGGGGGAGAGAGGAGAGGGGGAGAGAGGAGAGGGGGAGAGAGGAGAGGGGGAGAGAGGAGAGGGGGAGAGAGGAGAGGGGAGAGAGGAGAGGGGGAGAGAGGAGAGGGGGAGAGAGGAGAGGGGGAGAGAGGAGAGGGGGAGAGAGGAGAGGGGGAGAGAGGAGAGGGGAGAGAGGAGAGGGGGAGAGAGGAGAGGGGGAGAGAGGAGAGGGGGAGAGAGGAGAGGGGGAGAGAGGAGAGGGGAGAGAGGAGAGGGGAGAGAGGAGAGGGGGAGAGAGGAGAGGGGGAGAGAGGAGAGGGGGAGAGAGGAGAGGGGGAGAGAGGAGAGGGGGAGAGAGGAGAGGGGGAGAGAGGAGAGGGGGAGAGAGGAGAGGGGGAGAGAGGAGAGGGGAGAGAGGAGAGGGGGAGAGAGGAGAGGGGGAGAGAGGAGAGGGGGAGAGAGGAGAGGGGGAGAGAGGAGAGGGGGAGAGAGGAGAGGGGGAGAGAGGAGAGGGGGAGAGAGGAGAGGGGGAGAGAGGAGAGGGGGAGAGAGGAGAGGGGAGAGAGGAGAGGGGGAGAGAGGAGAGGGGGAGAGAGGAGAGGGGGAGAGAGGAGAGGGGGAGAGAGGAGAGGGGGAGAGAGGAGAGGGGGAGAGAGGAGAGGGGGAGAGAGGAGAGGGGAGAGAGGAGAGGGGGAGAGAGGAGAGGGGGAGAGAGGAGAGGGGGAGAGAGGAGAGGGGGAGAGAGGAGAGGGGGAGAGAGGAGAGGGGGAGAGAGGAGAGGGGGAGAGAGGAGAGGGAACCCCAACTGCTCCACCATCATCTGCCTCGTCGCCGTCACTCCCATCCACCGCCGCGCCATGGTGCGACTGGGAGAGGGGGAAAGGGTTATAAGGGAGAGATAGTGAGACGGTGGAATGGGAGTAGCGAGACGGTGAAAAGGATGAGACGGTGAGAGGGGTGAGACGTACCAGGCCTGCTCATACTCACCCCGTCGTTCCTTTCCCCCTTTCTTATTCATCCCCCACTCTCGTCCTCCCATCTCCTCCTCCCCCCCACAACCCCTCTCACACTCACCAGGTAAAGCGCATGGTGATCTCAACGTACCAGGTCTGCTCTCACTCACCCCCCCCGTCCCTTATCCTCCTTCCCCCCATTGTCCCCCTCTGTGCCCACTTCCCCCCGTCTTTCCCCCCTGGCCAGGTGAAGCGCATGGTGGTGTCGACCTACCAGGCCGCCAGTGGCGCGGGCGCGGCCGCCATGGCGGAGCTCGAGCTGCAGACCAAGGAGGTAAGCGCGTGGGGCAAGGGGAGTTGGGGATGGGGCAAGTGGGACAGGCAGGCGGGCATTGGGTGGGCAGTGATTGGGGGAAGGGACACGGGGAAAGAGAAGGGCGGTCAGTGAGGAAACTGGAATGTGGTGAGGGGAACGTCAGTGGTAACGCCGTCAAATGTCAAAGCATCCCACCACCACGCCACCCCCCCACGCCATCCACCCCATGCCGTTGACCCCATGCCACCCCCATGTGCCTACACACCACTTCACCCTACACCCCTCCCTCCGTGCCATGCCATGTCCCCTGCCCCTGTCATATCCCTGCCCTGCCCCTGTTCCTGACTGTGCGTGTGAGATCAGGTGCTGGATGATGGCAAGACCACCACCACCATGCCATTTCCCCGTGCTATTGCCCCGTGTCCACATACCACCTTACATCATACCCCTCCCTCCGTGCGCTGCCCTGTCCCTGCCGTGTGTCTGTCGGTGCGTGTGAGAGCAGGTGCTGGAAGGCAAGCCACCCACCACCACCATCTTTGGCCGCCAGGTGACCATGCCATGCCACCCCCTGCATTGTTTCTCCCCTCTTGTACCCATCCCCTTCCTTGACCTCTCCCTCCCTTGACCTCTCTCTCCCTTGCCCTCTCCCGCCCCTGCCCTCTCCTGCCCTTGCCGTCTTCCCTCCCTTGCCCTCCCCCTCCCTTGCCCTCTCCTCTCCCTTGCCGTCTCCCCTCCCTTTCCCTCTCCCCTCACCTCCCTCTTTTTCCCTCTCTCTCTCCCTATTCCTCTCCCTCCCTTGCCGTCTCCCGCCCTTGCCATCTGTCCACCTGCGTGGCCGCGTTCCCATGCGTGGCCGCGTTCCCATGCGTGCCCGCGTTCGCTTTCCCCATGTATGCGAGCAGTACGCGTTCGGCCTGTTTTCACGCGAGTATGTTAGAAGTCAGTTTTGAGAGTCCGAGTAAATGACTCTCTGCCTGCCCCTGCCCTGCCCTTGCCCTTGCCCTCTACTCCCCCTTCCTTCGCTCCTTGTTCTCTCCTCTGTGTGTGCGCGCCCAGTACGCGTTCAACCTGTTCTCGCACAACTCGCCCATGACGGCCAATGGGTACAACGAGGAGGAGATGAAAATGGTCAAGGAGACGCGCAAGATCTGGGTGAGTGCCACTTGTGGGCGTGAGGGTTCAGACCCTGCACTGTAAAGTAACTGATGGTGCACTTAAGGCCGGCGTTGGGCAATACGATTTCGGCCAGTGTTTTTTTAGGTCGACTCAGGAGTCACCTTGTGTTGCCCAGATGTCTCAGACCCTGCACTGGAGACTAAAAGCAGACCCCACCAATGCCGCCGTTCACCCCACGGCCCCTGCCTCTGCATGCCCTTGTGATCCCCCCCTGTGTATGCAGAGCGACCCCTCAGTGGCCGTCGCTGCAACACTCATCATCCGCGTGCCGGTGTTGCCTGCTGTCTCGCTCAAAAGGGTTTCCCACCCTTGCTGCTCTTTCCTCTCCTCCCCCCTTCCATGCAGAGCGACCCCTCAGTGGCGGTGACAGTCACATGCATCCGCGTGCCGGTGATGCGTGTTGTCTTGCCCAAGCCCCATCTCTGCTGTCCTTTCCCCCTCCCATTCCTTTGCATGCCCTTGTTAACCCCCCCTCATGCCTCCAGAGCGACCCCTCAGTGGCCGTGACAGCCACGTGCATCCGCGTGCCCGTGATGCGCGCCCATGCAGAGAGCATCAACCTCACACTGGAGGAGCCGCTGTCCGAGGTGCGAGGGGGGAATGGGGAGGGGTCTTTTGAGGGATGCTGCGTGAGGGGGAGGGACAGAGTCACCTGGCAGGTGTGATGCGCGCCCATGCAGAGAGCATCAACCTCACACTGGAGGAGCCGCTGTCCGAGGTGAGAGAGAGGGGAGGGTGTGTGTGCATGGAGCGATAGAAATCTCGCCTACCAGGTGTGATGCGCGCCCATGCAGAGAGCATCAACCTCACGCTCGAGGAGCCGCTGTCTGAGGTGAGTGGGAGAGGGGGAGAGGGGAGGGGGGAGGGGGGAGGGGGGAGTGTGTATGTGGTCCGTGGGTGGGAGGGAGAGGTGTGTGAGATAGAGACTTATGGCATCGACCCATGCACGTCTATGCGCCTTGTCCGTTCCAGCCATATGCGAGGGAGAGTTGTTTTTTAAACAAGTTTTTGCACCAAGCGGTGTACTCTCTACCCTATACACCACTGTGCTCCTTGGCACTGGCAGGTGGAGGCGAAGGAGATTCTGAGCGGTGCAGAGGGGCTGTTCCTCATTGACCTCCCTCTCCTTACACAACAAGCAAACCCTTACTGGTCTCTACTCTACCCCATCCACCTCTCCACTCCGTGTCCCTCACAACTCTCACTCCTGTGACCCTGGCAGGTGGAGGCGAAGGAGATTCTGAGCGGTGCAGAGGGGTTGTATCTCATTGACGACCGTGACACCAACACCTTCCCCACGCCACTTGATGTGAGCCCACGCCACTTGCTGTCATGTCGCCTGTGCTGCTTCACATCACCCCGCCAGTCACCCTCCTCTGATTGCTTCCTTCGCCACTCTGGTTGGTTCGATCTCTGCCCAGCATCCGTGCCTTCCCTTCACACCATTCCTTCCCCCTATCCATGCTGCCTCTCTGTGTTTCCCAATCCCATTCCCAAATGCCCCCCCCGAAGGCAGCCCCTCTCTGTTTCCCCATCCCATCCCCATGTCCCCCCCACTCATGCTGCCCTTCTGTGTTCTCCTATTCCCCATCCCCACGTGCTGCCCGCCAGGTATCCAACAAGGATGACGTGGCGGTGGGCCGCATCCGGCAGGACATCTCGCAACCAGACAACAAGGGGTGAGGCTGAGAGTTGCGGAAGTGGAGGGTGAGGAAGTGGTTGGGAACGGGAGTGTGGGTGAGAGCGGGGTTGAGAGACAAGGCTGGTGGGGTTGAGAGATGCCTCAAGCGCCACTTGTAAGAAGAGGAAAAGTGCAATCTGGAAGCAAGCAGTGCAGCAGAGATTGATGAATTGACAGAATATACAGAATAAAGTTTACGACTTTCTCCCCTTCCCTTGCGAATCACCCTTCTGCTGGACCTGTTTCTGTGTGGCGACCTATTTGCACTCAATAGTCCCTCCCTCCATCCCTCCCACCCTCTCTCTGTCCCCTCCCCGCACATATCTATCCCAATATTCCTCCCACCCTCCCCCCCGTCCCCTCCCCTCCCACCCCAGCCTAATTGTGTGTGGCGACCAATTGTTAAGTGGGCCCACAAGTTCTTTCCATCTATACGAGTTATCCCATCCATACACCTCATCCACCCCCCACCCACCCCAACCTGGACCTGTTAGTGTGTGGTGTCCAGTTCCGCAAGGGGGCGGCCCTGCCTTTCCCTCATCCTGTGTGCCTCCCCTCCTGCTCTCTCCCTCCCCATCCCCCACCCACACCAGGCTGGACCTATTTGTGTGTGGCGACCAGATCCGCAAGGGAGCGGCCCTCAACGCCGTGCAGATTGCCGAGCTGCTCGTCAAGAAGGCCGGTGCTGCGTGAAGGGAGAGGCTCCGAAGCATGATGGGTGGTGTGTGACGGGCGGTGGGCGTTGCTGTGCCGCTGCAGGCGTAGCGTGATGATGGATGAGGCATGGCAGACCTCATGTTACTGCCGCTGTGTTTCAGGGTTATCCTGAATGGTGCTAGGGCGATTTAGCAATTAGGGCAGCATAAGTTGATCATTATTGGGTGACCTACCAAGACTGCATGGTGTAGGGAGTGTGCTTAGAGAGTAGCTTTACTGCTTGTTCATTATAGTGGTGCGGTCACCATGTTGGTGTGCGTTGATTGGGTTTGGCTGTTTGAATCACACCAGAAATATTGCAGCCATAGGTATGTCGAGAGAACTGTTCAGGAATGAATGAACGGTGCAACAGTGAGGAACAAGTATTAAACCCTAATTGGGATTATACTATATATTGAGTACTTCATTGTAGCCTAGCATAATAAACAACATATAACTAAGATATTACTCACCCCCCTAGGCAAAGTGAGAGATAGCCAACACAACAAACGGTCATAAGACCAGTCAGGCAAGAGAACAAAGCGATACAAAGCCTAAGGTGGATCTCAAGATCACCACGCATTCTGAGCACAAGGCCACAAGGCCAGTTCACATCAGAGTTATAATAGCAAGGCAAGGCAGTACACTAATTACAACCAAGCAAGAGGAAACATGCAGATATAAAAAGAATTTTTTTGAAAGTGTGTAACACTTTCTAAAAATGCGTATTGTGAAAGCGCAACTGACTGTATCGCAGCAAGGCAACGGCGAATTACAATTCGCCGAGTACATAACGAGGGTTGGAGGCCATTTTGCCTCCACCCACGTCTTCATTTGGAACTTGCAGTTCCACTCCCCATCCACCCACCCTAGTCATATACGAAACTTGTACCGTATAATCTATAGATGGACGAGAATGTTGTAATTACAGCAATTGTAATGAAGCATGATGCCTTTGCAAGAACAGAAAGCAAGCTTTCTCAATTATAGATATCAGTGTACAACAAGTGCAAGATCAAGAGACAAGCAAGTGAGGCAGAGTGGGCAGAGCCCAAGAGCAGTGCAAAAACGCTAATAATCACCGCACTAGACCCAAAGGTCTTGGTGAAGACATCAGCAGTGTTACCGTAAGGCCCGGATAGAAGCGCAAGCCTCGGATAAGCGCCGGCGCTTATAAAAGGATGAGGGCGCTTATATCCGGTCCTCGATTATAAGCGCACCCCTGAAGGCTTACGGATTATAAGCGCCACCTATAATTGTTGTATTTGTAATCTTACTGAAATCGTAATAACGAAACTCACATTTTCATTCCCCACATTTTGAATCTCGATACCCTTCACCTCGCTCGGCTCATTGTGAAGAAATGAGGAATGAGTGAACTAGGAAATGAGTTGGGTACAAATATGAAACCCTAGAAAGTTGTACCCCATACAGTCTACCCCACTACAGCCTAGAAAGACTATAGCATATAAGTTCGACACACCCCCATAGGCAAAGTGGGAGAGAACAAGGGGTCACAAGACCAGTCAAGCAAAGCACAGCAAGCTCAGGGTGGATCCCAACGTCACCACACATTCTGAGCACAAGTTCAAGGGCCACAAGGCCAGTTCACATGCAAGCATATATATATATATATATATAAAGCTAAACATGCAAGTGCAAGTATATATAGGTCACAGTACAAGCAAGGTCAAGAAGTGAGTACGTGAGGCAAAGTAGGTACAAGACCTAACAAAGTACAGAAGCGTTGAAGATCACAAGGCGCGAGTGCCTTGGTGAAGATATCAGCAGTGTTGGCCTGAGAGGCCACGTAAGCAAGTCGTAGCTGACCACGCTGCTGCAGCTCACGAGCAAGGAAGTAGCGAAGAGCAATGTGCTTCGTTCTGTGCTCCAGTCTGTTCTCCCGACACAAGGCCGGCATGGCCTTGTTGTCTACGTACAGAACTGGAGGAGAATGAGGCGGCTCTCCAAGGTTAGTCAGTAGGTAGGTGAGCCAGTGTAACTCCTGTGCAGCCATGGCCCCCGCGTAGATCTCAGCCTCACAACTGGAGCCGAGAACAGAAGACGAGCGGGTAGACCGCCACGAAACAGAGCCAGAACCAAAACTGAAGGTGTAACCCTGTGACGACCGCTGCGTAGCCTGGTCATCAGCCCAAGAAGCATCTGCGTGACCAGTGAGGACCACTGGATTCCACCCTCCAAGTACAAGCCCCATGCCCGACGTACTACACAAGTAGCGCAACACCCTCTTCGCTGCAGCCATGTGCTCTGGTCGGTGTCTCCCAGGAGCAACATAGCGTGCCAGAATGCTAAGAGGGTATGCAAGGTCAGGTCGAGTGCAGGTCATCAGGTACATGAGGCAGCCAACAAGCTCTGGGTACGGGCCACTCGACTCTACGGACTCATCCGAAGGCAGAGCTGAGAGCGAGTGGCGAGTAGACAGAGGAGTGGCCTGAGGCGAGGAGTACATGAAGCCGAAGCGCTGAAGGACCTGCTGCACCATGTGTGACTGAGTCAGGGTAATGGTGCGCTGTGCTCTGTCCCGGGTGATCTGCAAGCCAAGGTAGCTGCACAGTTCAACCAGGTCTGTGCACGTGTGTCTCTTCTGCAGCTCGGACTTCACGTGGGCGAATCCAGCAGTGCGAGCTGTGGCAAAGACCAAGTCGTCGACGTACACGAGGATGTAGAACGGCGGCAAAGAAGTGTCGGTGCGCAGAAACAGCGACGGGTCGGCAGTAGAAGGAGCAAACCCAAGAGCCGCGAGTGTAGTCCTCAGTGTGTCGTGCCACTCACGAGGTGCCTGGCGGAGACCGTAGACTGGCCACCGGAGGCTCCACTGGGTACCAGGAGGAAAAGACCCAGTGAAGCCAGGTGGACGGCGCAGCCAGATCTCCTCGTGCAGGCTCCGCTGCAAGAAAGCAGTGTTGAAGTCAAGAGAGTGAAGCTCGTAGTCACGGTGAGCGGCTATGTGCAGTAGTACCTGAAGAGTGGTCATCTTCGGGGTGGGAGAGAAGGTCTGAAAGTAGTCAACTCCCTGCCGCTGACTGAAGCCACGAGCCACGTAGCGCGCCTTGAAGACAGGCGGAGAACCCGGCGGCCGCTTCACCCTGAAAATCCACATGCCACTGACGATGTTCGCCCTAGGAGGGGGAACCTCGTCGACGTAGGTGCCTGTGGACTTCCAGGAAGCCATCTCTGCATCCATGGCTGCCTGCCACTAAGAGGAGTAGGGACCCTCTATCGCCTCCGCGTAAGAGCGCGGAGTCGGGATGTCTAGTGCATCCGGGTCTCCCTTAGGGGCAAGCAGCATGGACACAAGATGAGGTGAAGCAGCAGAAAAGCACTGGAACTCCTCCTGCCTGTCCTCAAGGACGTCCGTGCCAAGGGCACACTCACCCTCAACGGACGGAGGACAGATAGACGCAGACTCAGCGACAAGACCAGCAGCGTAGTCTACGCGACAGCAAGCAGCGAAGTCGACAAGCTCAGAAACTAAGGCAGACGCAGCAGCGGACTCAAAGGAAGGGTCAGTGACAATAGTAGCAAGGAGACGCGTGAAAGTAGGACTGGTAGCACGAAGGGAGTGCGACTACGGGTGAGCAAGAACAGGAAGATAGGACTCAGGAGGAGAAGGCAAAGGGGCACGCAGCAGAGCAGTGGAGGGACGCAGAGACATCCGGTGCGTGCCTGGGACAGGGGGAGGACGCTGACGCGAACCACGACTACTAGTGCGCTCAGCACGGACAGGCGACGCAGGAGGAGACGCAGGCTCACGACGCTCTGCAAGACCTCCAATAGGACCAGTGTAGGGCGAAGGAGCAGATAGAGGAGAGGTAGGCTGTAACTATGACTCAGACTGGACAGGCGGTGGACACTCTAAGGGAGGAGTCGGACTAGCAGAGGGCGGAAGACCAAGAACCTGCTCAAGGAGTGGAACGAAGTACGGCCGCGGCCGCTCAGCACCACCAGCACCAGAAGGGACAGCACCAGCACCTCGAACGATAGCACCAGCGCTAGCAGCACCCCCAGCTCCAGCAGCGCCAACTCCAGTACCCTCAGAGGCACCAGCACCAAAGGCACCCTTAGCGCCAACACCCCCAGCAGCTCCAACTCCAGCCGGACCACCAGAAGACGCAGCGGGTGTAGCTCCAGTACCCTCAGTAGCAACGACGCCCGCAGCACCACTAGCTCCAGTACGAGAAGCACCCGCAGGCCCAGCAGCTCCAAAACTCCCCGTACGAGCACCTCCGGGACCCGCGGCACCAGCACCCTCAGCAGCAGCAGAACCTCCAGCACCCGCAGCACCTCCAGCTCCAGCAACTCGCCTCCAGCGCCGGGCAAACCACTCACGCAGCTCTTGTGGAGAGAGTAGCTCCCGCCGGGACGAAGCACCCGAAGAACCTCCAGGCCCAGCACCACCAGACGCAGCACCCCGAGGCTCAGCACCCCCAGACGCAGCACCCCCACGCGTAGCACCCCCAGGCTCAGCACCCCCAGGCGCAGCACCCCCAGAGTCAGCACCCCCTGGCTCAACACCCCCAGAGTCAGCATCCCCAGACCCAGCACCGGCAGGCTCAGTACCCCTAGCAGCACCAGAGTCAACAGCTACCTCGACAGGGTCGACTGTGTCTACCTGAGACACACCTGAGGGGGCAGGACCCAGAGGGGGGAGGGGGTCTACCGGAGGGGGACCTGGCGTAAGGAAGAGCGGCGGGGGGGGGGAGGGACGCAGTGCGGTAGGCGAAGAGACGGTAGTAGGGAACCGACTCGTCAAACGTGACGTCCTGGGAGGATTGCCAGCCCGGCGCGTCAGGGGGGAAGCCAAGGAAGACGCAGGGAACAGCACGAGGGGACAACTTGTCTGGAGACAAGTCGCGGACAAACGCCCGAGATCCCCAGACACGGAACGTAGACGCATCGCCAACCTTCCCCGTCCACAGCAAAGCAGGGGAGGTCTCGGGCATGGAGACCCGGGGCTGAAGGAAGATCTGATGCGCTGCGTACCGAACCGCAAACGGCCACAGAAAATGGGGGGCAGCCGCATGGACCATGGACGTACGAGCGACGTCCATGACCATGCCAATGCGGCGCTCAGCAATCCCATTTTGTTGCGGAGAGTCCGGAAGCGTGAAGGTGTGGCGGATGCCTCGTGCACGACAGAAGGCTCGCAGAAGGTCAGAGGAGAACTCTCCTCCTTTGTCAGAGTGCAGACGCAGAACAGGAAAGTCCGAGTCGAAACTCTCTCTGAGTTGGAGACGAGTTGCGCGGATCCAGGCGATCAACACCTCAGTGACCTCACCCTTGCAACGCAAGGGGAAGACTGCGGTGTAACGCGAGTAGTCGTCAACCACCAGCAGGAAGTAACGCTCGTGACCCTGTCCACGGACGCGGCTTGGGCCCCACACGTCCATGTGAAGCGTCTGCAGTGGAGCCTCTGTCGGAGGAAACTCGGAGGAGTGAGGAGCAGCGCGCTTCCGCCCCTCGACGCAGGGAACGCAAGTGGGGGCAGGCCCCGGAGGAAGGGGAGGGAGGGACCGGGGGAGACCAGAGACAAGGACACGGGAGGCCATGCCTCGAAGACGAGGCAGGGAGGGGTGACCAAGGCGGTTGTGCCAGAGGAGAGTCTGGTGAGACAAGAGACGACACGAGCAGGGGGCAGACTCAGGACCAGACCTGGACGCCGCAGCAAACACCTTACCCGACGCGGCTACCTGAGCTGACTCAGCGACCGGAGGAGACTCTGTAGTGAGTGTGTACAGGCTCGACCCCGGCTGACGGGTAAACGTGGCTAAGTGACGGCCCGTCCGAGCACATGTACAGTGGGTCACTCGTTGACTCGCAGGAGTGAACTGGTGAACCCCTCCATCCTGGAGGTCAGCACTACTCACCAAGTTCGTAGAGAACGAGGGGAGGTAAAGACCCGATAGGGTGCCAGAAGGGGCCGCCGAACACGGTAGAACAGTGGAGAAGTGGGCAAGGACGGGAACCCCAGAGGGGTCTGCCAGGGAGACTGCCACTGGCCGACTAAGCGGTGTAAGCGTGGTGCGGTCTCGAAAGAAGGAGCGGGAAGCACCCGAGTCATGGGTGAAGGTGTGGGTGGCCGGAGCCCACGCGGTACCTGAGAGCGCAGACTCACCAGCATCCGGGGCAGCAGACTCACCAGCACCTGGAGCAGCAGACGCACTAGCACCCAGAGCAGCAGCCTCACCAGCACCTAGAGCAGCAGTCTCAATGCCCGGGTCAGGCGGAAAACACCGGTAACAGTCACCCTCATCACTAATCGTCACAGCATACATTGCAGCAAGAATAGCATCATAATCAAGATCAAAGATAGTAACACGCGCCCTAAACAACTTGCCCCAGCGAGGGATCTCAGTAGCGTCGGGGAACTGATGACGCCAAGCGTCCATCAGGCGGCCGAAGCAGTGCAGGGTGGAGTGCAAACCCCCACACTGCTCACCCGCGCGGTCGCCTGTACGCAGAACGTAGGTACAGGGGCCATCACCCCCACCCCGCTGACGAGCAGTGTACCACTCATGGAGCTGCTGGGGGGAAGGGGTCTCACGAGTGCGCTGCTGCTGCTGCTGCTGGCGCTGACCACCACTGGAGCCGACCCTCTACGAAGAGCCGCCCCGACCAGCTCCACCTCTGCCGCTGATACCTCCACCACTGCCTTCACCTCCACCACCTCCGCTCGCACCGCCACCACCGCCGCCTCCTCCGCCTCCACTGCCGCCACTAGCGCCCTCACTCCCGCCACCACCCCCACCGCCACCCCCACCCCCTCCGCCGCCTCCACCGCCGCCTCCACCGCCCCCGCCAGCCCCTCCAGCGCCCTTGCCCCCCTTGCCCTTGCCTGGGCGGCGTCTCCCGCTAGGGGCAGACGCCGCGCCGACCGACTCAAGACCAACGAGGTCGGCCGCAGCAGCAGAGGCAACAGAGGGCAAGAGGGGGGAGGGGGAGCACCCCTCAAAGACACGGGTACGAGGGTCACCACGAGAGGCTCCTATAGCGGCTATATTCTTTTCTGCTGCTAGGAGGCGCTCCTCGAGGAGGTCAACGGTGAGGGTGGTGGGGCAAACAGAGAGGAAGTGGTCCCTGACCGAGCGAAGGGTGTCAGGGAGCCGGGTGACTATGTAGTAGAGGGTGATGTACATAGGGGGGGGGTTCTTGGCGCAGAACTCAGTAGGAAGCGCAGCGCGGTAGCGAATGTCACTAGTGCGAAGGTGCGTAATGAGGTCAGCGACTGCGGGAAAAGCGGCGAGGTCAGGGAAGAGGTACGGCAGTATGAGGCGGCTAAGGGCAGTAGTGGCAGGGGAAGAGTAGCGTGCAACGACAGCGTCGTACAAGGTCTTAGCACTCTTGTACTGACTAAAATGCGCGCGCTCAGCGGTCGGTAAGCGGCGGCGCACAGCAAGGCGAGCAGCAGCATCGCGCGTGGCCCACTGTGAGCGAACAGTGGCATCAGCATCAGCAGGCGGGGCAGGAGAAGCACCAGACGTGAGATCGAAAAGGGAGAGACCGTCTGCCCTATCGCACTGTAGGAAAAGCTGCAAGTCATGGACCCAGACCTCAAAGTCAACAGCCCGACCCTGGGGGTAGCCATGACAACAGCAGTCTGGTGGTGAGAGCGGCGGGCTAGAGGTAGTGCAGTGGCGGAGACGCTGCTTGGGAAAGTTCTCACCAGTCCGGGTGGGGAGGGCCGGGGCGCGCCGGCAGGAACAGGGCCGCAGCTGCGGCGGCGGCGCTTGGCGGCTCAGCAGCGGTTCGGCGGCTCGGCGGCGGCTCGGCGGCTCGGCTGCAGCTGCGTCGGCTTAGCGACGGCGGCGGCAGGGCCGGTGAGGGGCCGCACAGAGCGGCGAAGGGGGGGCCGCTGTAGGGCGGCGTCGGGGCCGCTGAGGGGCGGCGGCGGGGCCGCTAGAGGGCGGCGACGGGGCCGCGGTAGGGCGGCGACGGGGCCGTTGAAGGGCGGCGGCGGGGCCGCTCGAGGGTGGCGACGGGGCCGCGGTAGGGCGTCGACGGGGCCGCTGAAGGGTGGCGGTGGGGCCGCTAGAGGGCGGCGACGGGGCTGCGGTAGGGTGGCGACGGGGTCGCTGAGGGGCGGCGGCGGGGCCGCTAGAG